TATATATATATATATATATATATATATATATATATATGTGTATATATATATATATATATATATATATATATATATATATATATATATATATATAGGCATTTTAAACCCTTCCCACATTCTTGCAATATTCTAAACAATGTTTCTAAACTCTACACGCTCGAAAAGAGCACAGAATGTCATGATCTCAGCTCTCTGCCTCCGCTGCTCTCTGCCACCTGCCCGTGCTCTCGGCCACGCCCACTTTTCCGCTGCAGAGTAGAGATATGACACACTGCAGGAGGAAGCTTCTCCTGCAGCTCTGGGCTGCACAAAGGTGCACCAGGTGCTAAATAATTTTAAACAATTAATTTACATAAAAATTCCATGCTGGTTGTGTGTCATGTCCAGTCTTACTTTGAAAATCCACAATAGAGCGAGGCTGCGAAAAACAAACTGTGAAGTAGCAAGGGACTTCTGTATGGCCAAAATTACTCTAATGTACAATTTGAACCAAATTATTTTATTGTCTTGCTTATTAGTAGACTTTCTTTGAGCTCATTAGCTTCACTAAGCTAAAGATCAGGTTTCTGTTCTACATGCTAATTATTTGAGTCTTTAGCATTATGAATACTATACTATTTATCATACATTTTTAGGTCATAAAAGCTGGTGTTTTTCAAGCATGAGGATGTATTTGGTCTACGGTTCTTACACTTCATAAATAATGCATTTTAAAAATATTAATAATGGATATTTTCCTGCAAAGTCTTAAAGCGTTCATGTTCTAATCTGTTGTGCTTTTAATCTGACTGGGAGTCAGTTTACATAGCTAGAGTGCAGGGACAGACCTGGATGACTCCTGTAGGCAGGAGCTGATGGAAAATAAAAAGAAATCACACATGTTTTGCATGTAAGTAAATGTGAAATCAATGAGCTGTTTTTAGCTATTGCTGCTTTTCATTTACCTTAAAGCTGCAACTTCAATCTGACAGTGGTTTGGCTAACAACTATTAGCAATACAAGGCATTAACATTGTACTTCTCTGCATTTTGTGTATTTAAACTCTACATAAAGCAACATGTTTCCAGATAGAAGTTGTCCAGTACTGTGTGTTTGACTGATTAAAACTATAGAAACCAGCAGAAGTGGAACTAAATGTTTCTTACTAAAGCTATCGCAACATTTCATGCATGAAGCAACCATGTTAGATTTTGTGGCTGGTCAGGAGTGGCGTGTGTGCAAATTTGTATATATTTTTCTGAAATGAAAGACAAAAAAATACACCTTTAAAATACAACAGGAACACAGCATAAGCTCCTTGGTAAAATTAACTTTGGGGAATTGTGGGACCAAATGAGTTCATATTTAATTGGCTGTATGTTCTCGTGTTTACAGACGTTGAGCATTTGTGCTATGCTGTATATACACTGTTACCATTACATTATATGTAGGCAACTGTCAGAAAAAGACATAAGCATTTAAATAAGAGTAATTTATCTACAATAACGCCATCCGTCTGTCCGTCTGTCCGTCTGTCCGTCCGTCCGTCCATCCATCCATCCATCCATCCATCCATCCATCCATCCATCCATCCATCCATCCATCTGTCTAAGTCCCATCCTATTACAAATTTGTTTTTGTCATTTTGGGTCATTGAATGCAACACTCAAATATATGCTAAGAGATTATCCATGAGGGACACTGAATAATGCAGTCTACTATCTGATTCTGCAAGATTTTAATTTAATCTGTCATATAGCTCTTTATAGACATTTTTATTTTATCACCAGCTATCCAGAAATAGAGAAACTCAAACATGTAATGCAGCCAAGTCCACATCATGTAGAGACCTCCAGCCAATTAGAACATTTAACCCTGACATAATCCCAAGTAAAACATCTGACCAAGCCTACCTACATACACTGATATTGCCTGTTCATAATTAAATAAAGGGCGCAGGTTAAAACCTCATTTTCCATGTCTCAGGTGTCTTATATTTAAGGTTGCATTTTAAATTATAAACCCTCAATAGTTTATGGCTTGAATTCAAGGATTCAAGGTTCTTTATTGTCATTCGCATCACATGTGGTACATGAGGTGGAAATAAATTGTGTACACAGGGTCCCAGTTACATCCAACAAAAGTATAAAATGTAAAAGAAAAACAGTAATAAGATCTAAGATATGAACTAAGAAAAACGTTAACTGAAAATACACAAAGCACTAATAGTATAAAAACATTACGCCGAACAGCAGCACGAGCATGAGTCTGTGTGAGCAGATGAGTATGAATGAACACAGCAACCTGAAATAGATCAGCAGCAACATGATGTGATTTTTTTCACAGTGATTATCCTGGTTAGAGATTCATGAGTCTAACAGCCTCTGGGTAGAAGCTGTTCCTCAATCTAGTGGTTCTACACTTAATGCTCCTTAATCTCCTTACTGGGGGAGCGGGGCAAAAGTTGTGTGCTGGGTGAGTGGGGTTCTTCATGATGCAGGTGGCCATCTTCCTGCATCTGGAGGTGTAGATGTCTGTGATGGTGGGGAGACTGACTCCAACAGACTTCTGTGCAGCCTTCACCACTCTCAGCAAAGCTTTTCTTTCTGCAGCTGTGCAGCCTCCATGCCACACGATGCTGGAGCACAGGATGCTCTCCACTGCACACCTGTAGAAGGAGGTGAGGACTGAGCTTCCCAGACTAGCTCGCCTCAGCCGCCTGAGGAAGTAGAGTCTCTGATGAGCATTCTTGATGAGACTGGTTGTGTTGTTGCCCCAGCTGAGGTTGTCATTCAGGTGCACACCCAAGTACTTGTAGCTGAAGACCACTTCCACCGCAGATCCTCCTATGTTCAGAGGGTAGGTAGGTGTGTTTGTTCCGTCTGAAGTCCACAACCATCTCCTTCGTCTTCTTAACATTGTTGTGAAGTTTGTTCTGCCTGCACCAGCTCTCCAGGTGTTCCACCTCCTGCCTGTACCTGGACTCATCATTGTTTTTGATGCATCCCACCACCGCTGTATCATCTGCAAACTTTACAATGTGACAGCCTGGATGGGTAGGTGCACAGTCATATGTGAGCAGAGTGAACAGGAGAGGGCTCAGCACACATCCCTGAGGGGAGCCAGTGCTGAGGGTTATGGTGGAGGAGGAGAAGTTGTGGATCCTCAACGACTGTGGTCTGTTTGTTAAGAAGTCTAGGACCCAGTTGCAAATGGAGGGGCTTAGTCCTAGTTTGAGTAGTTTGTCCATCGGGATCTGAGGAATCATGGTGTTGAAGGCAGTCATGAAGTCCACAAAGAGCATACAGACGTAGGAGTCCTTCTGCTCCAGGTGGGTGAGAGCAATGTGGACCACAGAGGAGATGGCGTCTTCTGTTGATCGAGTCTCACGGTATGTGTACTGGTGAGGGTCCTCACTGATGTTGATGGTTTTGATGTGGGTCATGACCAGTTTTTCGAAGTATTTTGCAACTATCGGGGTGAGGGCCACTGGCCGATAGTCATTCAGACCAGTCACTGTAGAACTCTTTGGGACTGGGATGATGGTGGCGGTCTTCAGGCAGGTGGGAACTGTTGCCAGGGTAAGTGAAGAGTTAAAGATGCTGGCCAGCACCTCGCAGAGCTGATATGCACAGTCTTTCAACACTTTCCCGGAGATGTTGTCTGTGCCGGTTGCTTTGTGAGGATTAATCCTCCTGAAAGTACTCCTCACTTCTGCTGAGGTCACGCTGAGAAGCTCTTCTTACGGTGGTGAGGTGAGTCTAGTGCTGGGTGGTCTGTTCAGGTCTTCAAAGTGTGTGTAGAACTTGTTGAGGGCATCAGGCAGTGATGAGTCTCTAGGGCATTGTTCACTTCTGCCTTTATAATATGTTATACACTTAATGTCCCTCCACATGCTCCATGGGTCTTGTGAGGTGAATTGATCCTGAATCCTCTGTGCATTTTTGGCCTTGGCCCTCTTAATACCAGCAACCAGCTCTTTTGTTGTCCTTCTCAGCAGTTCTTCTTGAATAATTGTTTGTGTAGATATTTTCCTAAATGTTTGGCCTTCACAGTTCTATACTTGTATATAAAGCTAAGGTATGCTAACTAGTTAGTGACTGTATGCTTTGCCACCATGTTAAAAGTCTGCTAGAAAATGTGAACATATCGTCAGGGAGATATTAAGGATATCCTTCAAACAGACACATTTAGTTAATGTGTTTTTCAGTTTTTTATAATAAATCTTATTGTTTGTTGGTTTTGGTTTAGGAATAAATTAACAGAAATTGTATTGGAATGGAATTGGAATATTTTTGTATTCTATTGAAACTATTGACACTTACGTGATTGAGCATGATTTTAAATGGTCAAATCTTTGACTCCAAACTGGTAGAAAGTGGTACTGGGCCTCTAGGCCACCAAAGAAAACAAAATATGGACCCCAGATAGGGACAACGCCAGTGAAAAGTAGCTGCTTATTGAGAAAAAGGCTCTGCTAACTAATAATACTTTTGACTAAAATTAGTGTGTTTTAATGTTTTTGTATTTTAAGATGCTTTCAGTGTTTAGGTAAAACAGCCTCAAGCACTAAAGAAGATTTTTGTGAGTTATTTTCTCAGTTTGTAGTCACACTGCAGTCCAGCTTCGGGTCTTTTACTTTCAACGTAAGATTATGGGTAGATCCTCTGGCTGCTTCTTTGTCCCCCTGCACTGCCTGTGCTTTTCATCCCTCGCTCCTTCCTTCATCTCCTCCTCTCTCCCTACTGTGTCTCTCTCGAGCATGCTAATGCCCTTCTTGTTGCCTAGGTAACTACTATGGGACCCCAAAACCGCCGAGGCAGCCCATCATTGGGACAGTGACTCTCAATGATACGGGCTCCCATCAGTCCACCCCAAAGCGCACCAAGTCCTACAATGACATGCAAAACGTCCGCGTAGTGCCTGCTGACGACGACGATGACGACCAGGCCACGGAAATGAACAACAGTTTTACAGGTGAGGGCACCACTGCTCCTCTCCAACCCTCTCAGTTTGTTGAAGTTTCTGATTCTTAAGCTTTTGTTCGGTCTCTGCACGTGTAGTGTTCTCCATCTGTGCTGTTTCCTTCAACTCATTTTTTCCCACTGTGGACTGTGTTTTGTACACATGTTCAAAGGAAGATGAGGAGAGAGATAGTGTGTGCATATGTTTATGACCCCCTCCTCTGTAAGTTAATGGGTGTCTGGCAGTTACATCATGTCTTTGCGATGCAGATTATTTTCTTGTGAGCCTGTTAACACTGCCATCTGCCTGTAAGGAGGGTTGTGCTGCTTTTTCTTTCTCCACAGACACATCCTTGTTTTTATGTATCCTTTTATTCCAATAAATTGTCCTCATGTATACCAGTCATTGTATCGACAGGAGAATTTTAAATCTATTTCATGTTTACAGACTGAAACACACAAACCACATGATGGGTATATAATGCTAGTACTCCTAAACCTTTTCCTGTTTTGCTTTTCCCTCTTGTGGGTGAAAGTTGCGGGCTGTATTTTTTCCATCTTTGATACTTTGAAAGTTCATGCTTTCTATGTCACCTCATCGGTGTGTGGAATTTAGACTGAAACTGTCTTGAACGACTCAAAAAAGTGGAAAAGCAAAACAAGATGGAGGCTTAGGTTAAGTTACTCAGAAAGATGTTTAAATGTGTGGCGGTATAGCAGGTGGGGGGCGGGGGTCAAGGAAAGACTGCTGCTGCAAGTATTAGCCTATCCTCCACAGGCCAAAGCAACACTAGAACAATTTTTGTGAAGATGTAAAAGTTTTTCAGTTTCAGCCTTGCATTGGTATCAAAACAACATTTTAGGAAGCCCTAAAAGCTGTTTTCCAAACTGAGTTCCTGGAAGAAATAAATATAAATAAATTGGGGATGCACGATATTGGATTTTTGGCCGATATGCTGATATGTTAAACCTCATTTGGCTGATAACCGATGCCGATACCGATATTTTATATACGTTCCTTTGTCAGAACATAGCCCTCTTATTTAGGCTTATTTGCAACAAAAATTGTGCAAAAGCTGTAAGAGCTGGTGACATATATTCAGTAACAGCCATATGATATGCATAGCACTTTGACTTATATTAAATGAAAAGAGTTAAATGTTATTTATTAGCATTAGTCACTTGCAATGCTGTCTCACTTAGCTGCAGTGTGGGATCCTCTGCACTCCTGTGCATGAAGGACAGCCTTTTTAAGTTCTAAGTTTTGGTCCATCCATTGCGCTGTAAGACTAATCAAGCTAACGGGGCTAACACAACGTCCAAATGTCTGTGGTAAAACTCACCCACAAGTCGTGCTATCAGCTATTAGCTTCTCAGTGACGTCGGAAATGACGGCTTGTAACTCGGGTAACGTTGCCTCGGAAAAATATCTCAGACTGTGGACAATGTAGCGAGGCTCAACATAGTCCATAAATCTTCGGAATTCAACATCCTCACCAACAAAAAATAAAACTTCCACACCGCCGACATTTTGAATTTTCCTCTCCGCCGTGAGATTGGGTAGGTGCACGTGATGTCATAGCGTTGCGCTGCTGATGTAACATCACGTTGTGCTGCCTCTGCAGGCAAAAACAGTGCCTTTTATATTGGCGAGTTATTTTAATGGAACGGCCCATGTCCGATATTGAATTTTAATGCTAATATCGATCGATACCATGCCGGTAATATTGTGCATCCCTAAAATAAATATACCGGTATATAAATAAATAAAAATGTATTATATTAATATAAATAAAAATGCCACTTTTGCTTTTTGGTCTAGACAGACTAAATGTAACCTTTAGCAAACCATGACGACATAAACCAAACATAATAGATGTAACAGCAGGTGTGTGCGCTTGTGCTGTAGACGTTAGATTTTGTACCACAGCACAACATTTATACTGTATTACTTAAATAAGCAGACAAGACTGCTAAGCAGTAATACTGCCTTGAATAAAGCACAGCAAATAACCTAAGGCCAAAAATGTTTTTTTTTTTTATTTTGCTTCCATACATTGTCAACTATCCAAAAAACAATTATAGAAAAAAAGTACTAAATATATCAAATACACATTACAATCAAAGTTCATGCTCAATAAGCCAACAAAGTTGTCAGGTCTTCTGGGCAGTTTTTTTGTTTTGTTGAGACGTTTTGTCCTTTATCCAAAGGACTTCATCAGTCCAAGGAGCCACAACAAACTCATTCCCACAAGCAACACGCTCACATAGTGGACCAACCAGTTTGATGGCGATAAAGAAGATACCTGGATTATTGAGCATGAACTTGGAGTCGACTGGAGAGAGGGCGAGCCCCAGAAACCATCGTATCACCATTAAACTGGTTGGTCCACTATGTGAGTGTGCTGCTTGTGGGAATGAGTTTGTTGTGGGTCCTCAGACCTTGGATGAAGGACGAAACGTCTCAACAAAAAAAGAAACCGTCCAGATGACCTGACTAAACTTTGTTGGACACAATAAAATCTTTTTGGGAAATGGAAATAATTTTAAGATGGACAGTTGTGCATTAAGATTTTACTCTTACACAATACACATTGTGAGGAAAGCACTGCCCTGCAGCTGTTCTTCAGTGGAGACTGGGCCTGAAATTGTCCAATATGTCCACATGTTTGGACTGACACAACTCCCAGTCAACCCTTTCCTGTACTTTTGTGGTCTTTCAGCTTTATGTGATAAAAGTTTCACTGTGTTGTCAGTCCACAAAAAACAATTTAGTTCTTTCTCTTTTCTTCAACATCCTCATTTTCTTCTTGTTGTATTTACACTTTTCATTATAGAGTGGAAAGTAAAATGAAATAGGTTTATCCATAATATATATAAACAGTCTACTTTATATGTATGTACATTGATCATGTTTTGTTTCCTGTTTCTGGTGTATTTTCATGAGAAAGTGCATAAACCGCAGCCTGAACATGAGTTTGTGGTGAGCAGACTGGTATGAATACAGCAGCTTAAAGGCAAGAAATCAGCAGCAAGTTGTACAGTGTTGTAAAAAATAAAGCAACAACAACAAAATAAGATTGTTTTATAAAGAAAAATCAATCCTGTGTAGACAAGGCTTCAGAGAGCAGGAGGTGAATTCAGAATATTGGGTGAAGGGGAAGCACTGAGAGGTCGTGTGAGTAAAGTTGCATGAACTGAGTGTTCTTTTCTTCCATTTTGCATGCATGATACATAAACTGTGATTTTCTTTCTGGTTTTGTTTGTGTGTGTTGGTCTTCTTGTTTCACCCAGGGTCCTTAGTGCGTAGCCTCTTCCCCTCTCCTTTGTTGTGCACAGGTACCCCTAACGACCAGGACGAGAGCCGTAGCGGCATTCTTCGGCCATATCCTGCACGAGACAATGCTCTGGCCTGTGGTCTGAACAATGCAGCCACCTCCACGGTTGAAAGCGGGCAGCAGACTCTTGCAGAACCGCAGGTCTCTCCAGATGACCCTCTGGGACCGCTGCCTGAAAACTGGGAGATGGCCTACACTGAGAACGGGGAGCTGTACTTCATCGAGTACGTTTCTGCAGCACGAACAGCCCCACAGTTCTGTCTGACAAACGCAGCCTTTGCGTTCCTTTTTGTTCAGTAGCTTGTTTTCCATAGTGATGTGGGTTTTAGGCCTTCCCAGCCCCCTGACTGCAACTGCTTTCCTGTTAATCCCTGCATGTCCCGATCTCAAAAGGAGATCACATCCTGATCACCTGATTACCCTCCACCTCTCTGTCCTCGTTGCAGCACTGCGAAGCCTCACCACCAGGACATGGCAGTGCATTTTCAAAGCGTGTACGTTAATTTCACTGAATAACAGCATGTTTTGGTTTTTGTCTAACAATACTGGGAAAAGTCCAGTAGTTTCTTGTTACCTTGCCTGTGCCGCTCTTTTTTTCTTTTTTAAATTTTGTTTGCAGCAGACGGTCCGTTGAAAACTCGCTGACACATTTTATGTTTATTGCTTACTGATGCATTCAGGTCCCTCTGTTGTGCTGTGATATGCCACTTTGACAGCCTGTCCTGAATTATTCTGTTGTCCTGTTTGTTTCCTCTCAGCCACAACACTAAGACCACATCATGGCTGGATCCGCGGTGCAGAGACAAAGCCTCCAGGCCTTTGGAAGAGTGTGATGATGATGGTAAGCCTCTGCACATCATTAACAACACAAAACTGTAAATTTGCAGCTCTGTGTAGTGGTTTGGAAGCAGACGGAGTTCTTACACTTGTGTGTCTTGTGCACTGAGGAACAACAGCTTAATTTCTAGTAGAGTTGTGTCGCCTTGATTTAGTTTCTGTTGTAAATTGTTGTGATTTGCAATGTGTTTTAGATTTGTCGTGTGGTGAACACTTTTGACATTCATCATGACATATTGCTTCCTGGGAAACATAAAGCATTTGACAAATTCTGACACTTGCTCTTATTTTTGTTGTGGCAAAGTTGCACCATCAAGTGGTGAAGCTGAAAGCTACAGGAAACTTTTCTGTTGCTTTGAGAGGCTGGTGTGTTCTGGGTTAACCTGTTTCAAAGGTTAACTGTTTGCTTTCCTCTTGTCTGTCACTGTATCTGATGCTTTTGTTATTTCTTCTTTCTTCTCTGTGTTTCTCTGTTTCATCCTACTTTCAAAACTGGAGAAGAAGGGATACATACGGAAGACCTAGAAAGTGACATAGGTATGTTTTAATCACCCGACGACAAAAGGCACAAACAGACTGTGCACGGACTTTATTTAATTTGATCCTATTACCTGTTTGGAGTCAACTTTGTCTGATGTTTAACAAAATATCTCATAAACCAAAGCACAGCTTTTAATGAAACTCTCAGGAAATAATCTCGCACATCGACAACTGATTAGAATTTAAAGCCAACCTTATTCTAGATGGATGCCACAACCAACTGACTCTGGAAAACACAAAAAAATTACCATAAATCAGTCAAATTTACACAGTTTGTGCTAAAATTTAATGTGGTAATAGCTGTGTCATTTACCATACTCTACCACTTTATTTATAAAGTACTTAAAACAACAACAAGGCCAACCAAAGTGCTGTACAGCAAAAACAAACAAGTAAAGGACATAAGATAAAATACATAGAAAAAGATAATAACTAAATGAACATGTACATTATAGAATACAGACAGGTTAAAACTAAATCACTAAGTGTGAAAAGCCAGGGAATGAAAGTGAGTTTTTAAGCAAAACTTAAAAACTGTGAGAGAGGGAGCCTGTATGATGTGCCGTGGTAACTCATTCCACAGTTTTGGACCAGCAACAGAGAAGACTCTGTCACCTCTGAGCTGAAGACAAGTTCCTGGAACCAACAGAAGCATCAGGTCTACTGACCTCAGAGAGCACTGTGGGACATATGGCTGCAGCAGATCAGTGAGATGCGGGGGCAAAACTGTTCAGAGATTTAAAAACATACAGATGGATTTATAAATGAATTTGAAAGTGATCTGGGAGCCAGTGAAGGGAGGCCAGAACTGGAGTAATGTGCTCTCTTTTGCCTGTACCAGTTAAAAATTGTGCTGCAGCATTTTGAACCAGTTGTAATCATGCAATGGAGGTCTGACTGATTCCAAACAGATGTGCATTGCAGTAATCAAACCTGGATGTTATGAAATCATGTATTACTGTTTCAAGGTTACTTTGGGACAGTAGGGACTTCAGTTTAAACAGTCGCCTCAACTGGAGAAACAACAGGATTTAACAATCATGTTTACATGATGGTTTAGTTTCATGGAAATGTCCATTATCACTCCCAGATTAATGACAACTTGTTTATCTAACGGGGCTAGAGAGGAAAGGTCGATACCGTGGTTCTTGATCGTGCCATTAGGTGGAAACAACAGCACTTCTGTCTTCTCATTGAAACTTAAGAAATTTAAAGCCATCCAGTCCCTGATGTCGGCCAGTCATTCAAGAAGAGGTTGAATAGAGCATGCACCAGTGTGCTTCAGAGGGAAGTACATTTGACAGTCATCGACATAGAAATGAAAGAAGAGATGAAATTAACAACACATACAGTATGACAAGTGCTCCACATTGTGCACCACCTTTGTCTAAAACTTTAACATTAACAAAAAATCCTGTTAGGAAAACAATGTCTTGAACCTCAGCACCATTTTCAAGGTTTGCCCTAACGTCCATAACTCTGCCATGAAAGGTGGAGTTCAATTGGCATTCCTTTAAGGAATGTTAGATCTTTGATTTCAAATGATCTGACAGCAATCATGTGTAAACTTGTTTGGAACATATCTTTGTTTTCATCTCCCTCATTTATTGGCCATAATGAATGTAGTAACAGCAGCCATAAACAGCAGGAGGGGATTCAACTTGTAGGCGTAGTTGTTTGTTATTATACTGAAAGGCCAGTTTGTGTTGCTGGCAGAGACCGAGTGTTTGAATGAGACTGCTCAGACTACACTAGTTGTTCTTTTACCAATAAAATAAACCAGATTCTATACAGAGAGGGTTTCAAAGTGTAAGAGGTCTCGGCCTACAGCCAGTGCCAGCTATAAATCCTAGAAATTAAAAAAATGTGTTGCTATCAAAGTAAAATAAAAATTAATGATTGTGTTTTGCAGCAGAAAATGAGGAAAGTGAGGCTAAAAAGAAGCAAAAACTAGAGAAGCTGCATTTTCTGAAAAAAAAAAGCAGTGAGACTTCTGAGTTCTGCAAGACTTCACTGAAATGAGTTGAAAACCTACATCTAAGTTGTTAAAGCTAAAAGAAGTAAAACCTTAGCACAAACTATAACAAAACACTAGCTAAAAGGTAAGCTAAGAATAGCAAAATGCTACCTAGAAGCTAAAAGTAGCTAAACACTAGCTAATAATAAATATAGCACAAATGTAGTTAAAAGCTAAAAGCAGCAAAAGGCTAGCTAAAAGCTAAATTTAGCGCAATAGTAGCTAAAAGTATCTCAAACAGGCAAAATCAGAGCCAGTATACTTTAATAAAATTTAAGAGAAGTTATGTGTTCGACGGAATTGGAGATATCTTAAGTTAATCATGTAAAGTTAAATATTTTAAAAAGTATAAAAGTTACAAAATCCAAAAGTCAAGTAGTTAGATTGCAAATAAACTTCGTATTCACTCAATGATCATATGAACAACCCCATGAACAGCACACTGTTGTATTTACTCCTGTTAATGATTAATGCAGGCTGTTTGTGTTTAATGCTTTGTGCTCTTTTTATTCCAGAGCTGCCCCCAGGATGGGAGAGAATAGATGACCCCGTGTACGGAGTGTACTATGTGGAGTGAGTTAATCACCGTATTTACACATAAATGCTCAAACATTTAAAACCCTTTCACAAATCTGGTCTCGGCCTCACCAGGCCTTTGATTCAAAAGACCCAAACATTTACAGAGCTGTTATACACTGTGTGTAGTATGATCCAATATTCTCTGTTTCAGTCATATCAACAGGAAGACCCAATATGAGAACCCAGTGGTGGAGGCGCGGCGCCAAAAACTCTTGGAGCAGCAGCTACAGCCGCAGCCTCCAGAAGGTGAGCGGTATATTCAAGGTTCGTTTCCTGCCCTAGAGTGGCACCATTTCTTTCTTTCTTTATGTCTGTCAGCGTCATGTCCATAGCTCATCCCAGGTTTGGGCCAGACTTTTTCTATTCCAAGGAGAAACTTGATTTCACTTTTCCTGTCCAGATGTATTATTGTGGACTGCCTAGTAAGGCAGCACCTATTATTATCCACCTGACTTGGGTTTCTTAACTTTATCTTACTTTTCCGTCAACTTTAATGTGGCCTGGACCACAATGTGTACCCCCACAAGTGTTGTATCAAAACGACCGGCTCGGCGTCGTGATGTGTGCTATCACTTGTATTGGTGTTTTGAGTTACCATGGCGATGTAATTTGCAAACAAAGACTGCTTCTAACTGTTGTAACGCAGTCATTCTTTGAGATATTGAGCTGAAGTTTGCTCTGATCGTAGCTGAGCGCGTTTTCATATATTTCTAATGCAAGTCAAAAATCCAAAATTGCCACCTGAGCTGAAAGAGATAAAATATGATAACTCAGCCATTTTAGAGCTGAAATTTGGTTTGTTGATAGCTGAGAGTGATGCCCAATAAATACTTAATTCAAATCCAAAAATTCAAGATGGCCATCAAAGCTACATTTCAATGAATTTAACTCAGCTATTTTTACACATAGAACTGAAATTTGGTGAGGTTATAGCTGAGAACATTCCCTATCACATACTGAATTCAAATCAAAAATAAAAGATGGCCACCTTAGCTAAAAGGGGAAAATATACGATAACTCAGCAATATTTAAAGCTATTCAGCTGAAATTTGGTATAGTGGTAGCGGAGAGCGAACCCCAACACATAGTACTGGCAAACCCATCCATCCATCTATCCATCCATTCATCCATTATCTTTACCCACTTCTTCCTTTTCGGGTTGTGGTTGTCACTGGTGCCCAGGTCCAGCCATCACTGTGTGAGAGGCGGGAATGTGGCAGTCCCCATCATTCTCCAGGAACTTTCTAGTTCCTACTACTACTACTACTACTACTACTATTACTATAAAAGTAAAGCTGGCCCAACCTCTGGTGTTGTCCCATATCATAAATGTTGTGTATCATTTAGTATTAGATCATTTTATTTTGTGTACCCCATAGATTCACTTCATGATGTCTTTAAATCAAACTACAAAATGCTTCAGTGTACTTTTGCTAGAGCTAGTTCAAGAAAATTTAAAAATCTAACTCTATAGCTAACTACATGGAAATTAGCTTTGAGCTCCATGTTTGACTATTAGCGTGTGTTAATATGTGTGCATATATGTTGCATATAAATACACAATAGCGCTGAGTGTGTGTGGAGTAAAGCGTGAGCGATTGTGTGTGCAGAGTGGATAGAGGAGCACTCAGCTGCAGCAGCTTCTTTGGCAAACTTTGCGCCAAACCACCTAGAGACCTACAGGGAACCACAAGTTCCTCCAGCTCTACCTCCAGGCCCCACAGGCATCAAGAGTAAGTTTTTGAACATCACAGGTCTTCACTTAATTCATGGCAAATACCTGTTTCTTTACAGAAGCAATTTTAATTTTGATGAAAGCTCTAATGTTAAACTGAATGAAAACTGAAGTTGCGGAGCCTTTTTCGTGTTCTTACACGTGTAAAACATGAAGGTTGATGTAACCCCACTGATTGTTAACAGTGGTGTTGCATGGTTCTTAACAGTCACAGCTTTACTTTTTTCTCAGTTCAAGTTTTTTCCCAGATTTGTGGAATGTAAATCTGAACCCGGCGTTAAACATTTTTCTCTCTACGTTCTCCAGGAGGGAAACCTTTTTTCACGAGAAACCCAGCAGAGCTGAAGGGAACCTTCATCAACACGAAGCTGAAAAAGAGTCACCGTGGATTCGGCTTCACTGTAGTTGGAGGCGATGAGCCTGATGAGTTCCTGCAGATCAAAAGTCTGGTGCTGGATGGACCTGCGGCTGTCGATGGCAAGATGGAGACAGGTGCAGTACACAACCACTGTCCACAGGGGGCAGTGTTTTCAAATCAAAACACTGAGTTGATCTCTGCCTCTGAAATTTCACCGAACTTTGAACTCGAGATTTGACTAAATGTACAACCTATATGTGATCTTTCAACCATTAAGTGAAACTAACGATCTCATCTTCTTCTTTGCAGGTGATGTGATTGTCAGTGTTAATGACACGATTGTGCTGGGCTACACCCATGCTCAGGTGGTGAAGATCTTCCAGTCCATCCCTATCGGCTCCATGGTGGACCTGGCATTATGCCGTGGCTATCCACTGCCCTTTGATCCAGACGACCCAAACACCAGCCTGGTGACCTCCGTGGCCATCTTGGACAAGGAACCCATCATTGTCAATGGGCAAGAGACATTTGACACACCGGCTAACCAGGTCGGGCTCCTTAACAGCATGCGTGAGCCACGGCCTCTCAGCCCCTCAGCCGAGGTGGCATCTAATGGCTCTCATGGTTACTCCAGCGATGTAGTCACCCTGGCCTCATCCATAGCCACCCAGCCTGAGCTCATCACCATCCACATGGAAAAGGGGGACAAAGGTTTTGGCTTCACTATCGCCGACAGTCTCACAGGTGGAGGCCAAAGGGTGAAGCAAATAGTGGACTATCCACGTTGCCGGGGTCTGAAAGAGGGGGACATTCTGATGGAGGTCAACAAGAGAAACGTTCAGAATATGAGTCACAATCAGGTGGTGGATCTACTGAGCAAATGTCCGAGAGGCAGCGAGGTCACCATGTTGGTGCAAAGAGGTATGTACTGCATTGGATTATGCTTTTTATCAGCTGCAGCAGAAGACAGTAATGTTTTTGCTTGTGCATGTGTTTGTTTGTCTGTTGAAGCAACTTTAGCAAAGACAAATATGGCAATGATTCAACCTGCTTTACAGACTGCGAGCTAAAATCTCAACCCTCAACACATATACCATGCACTAACACGTCTCATGAGATATTGCAATATTGCACAAGAAGCAATTTTCAATATTTGTCTAGAAAGCCTGTAACGTGCTCATTGTTAATACTTTGGATTAAAAAATTGTAATTTTCTTATAGAAACCAAAGTTTTGACTCAAAAAGTTGTGAGATCAAAAAGCACAAATGAACGTACTTTAGCTCGCCTGAACAGACAACAGCTTGAAGAGCTGGCACGCTGAGAGAGACATGATGAAATAGCAGGAGTGAAAAGTGAGGAAGCGAGTAGGCGGCAGGTTGAAAACACTCGGACTGGATGGGATGAAATGGAAAGAGGCACAGAGAAATGACAGGAAGAGGTAGAAGTGGAAGAGCGAACGGGTGTGGGGACAGAGTGGGAGGACGGGTAAAGAGTCGAGATGGATGGACAAGAGGGGGAAAGTGCAGCACATTAGGTCAGGGGCTTGTACGTCAATGTTCACGCGTGTGATAGGATGTTTTCACATGTACAGTAATTATCTAAAACAAAAAAGAGCGTCATTGCATAATTGTTTATAAATATAATTTTTTGTTCATACAGTAATGGTTTTACAGATTTTTATTGATGTTCTTTTATCAGTGATGCAGACTTCTTTATGAGTGGGGGCTCAGTTTCTAAGCTATTTGACAGTTTTCCTTCAGTCTGCGTCTTAAGTCAAAAATTTAAAGTTTATAAAATCTCGTTAACTGATGCAGAAACAATTTTTGTGCTAAAGCTGATCTGTATTGGTGACAGGTTGGGATGTGCACCCCACATCAATTATGTCCTGTAATGAGTTGACCTTGTGCACCGCTGCAAGAATAACATAGCTGTATTGTGTGAAATGTCAGCATCATTATGAACCTGCGTGTGTGTGTGGGGGGGGGGGGCACAAAGATAGGAGACAAATAAGAGGATAAATGGGTGTGAGGCTGCAGGGTGACTGACGGATACGTACATCACATTTGTTAGATTTTATAGCTGTGGCTTCAGGTGAGAGAATGTGTGATGAACGGCAAATACTAAACCCCCCAGAGCGCAGAGCTGACCGGGGAGGAGGCAAACTAGAAAAATTAGGCCTTGTTTGGGATGTTTAGAATGGATCCATGTTTGTTGCATTGAGTAAAAGAAAACAGCATAAATGTTGACATTTTTATTAATGTCTTTCATAAAAGGTCTTGGTAATACCAAAAAGAAATTATGCTCATGAACAGTAGCACTGAGGATTAACGTGCAGCTATAAGATGTGACGCATCTACAAAGGACAGATGAAAATGGACCAATAATCCCTGTGGGTCATTCTCAGCTGTATGGGAAGAAGGTTGGTAATTAGGATGAAAAACAGCTCTGAGTCTTGAACTGGGAGGATAATGGAATGTAATCTGAAATGGGTTCAACAACAGATGCTTTTTGGATAGTTTCCAAAGTTTTGAAGCAAATATGCATAATTTGTTCATAAATTGTCTCACCTCAAACAAACAACAATAAAAACCTTAATAACTGAAGACCTGACATTCCTTTAAGTAATGTGTCACCCACTAAACTGTGTGCCGAAGTTTTAAGCCAAGGTATTGCACAATCTGGTAGCATTCAGAGATCCACTAAGGAGCACAAGCCAGTGCATCTCTTGTGCCGGTCCCAAGCCCGGGTAAATGGTGAGGGTTGTGTCAGGAAGGGCATCCGACGTAAAACACTTTTGCCAAAACCATAATGCGAGTTTATCAAAGAAAAATATACGGGATCAGTCGAGGCCCGGGATAACAAAGACCGCCACCGGTGCTGTTGACAAACAGGGTGCCGGTGGAAATTGTGCTACTGTTAGTCGAAGACCACAAAGAGGGAAGCATGTCAGGAGACAGAGGGAGAAGAGGAAAGTCAAGAATGTAGGACTGAGGGTTGCAACTCTAAATGTGAGGACAGTGACAGGCAAAGGTAGAGAGCAGGCTGGCATGATGCAGAGAAGGAAGGTAGATGTTTTATGTGTCCAAGAGACCAAGTGGAAGGGCAGCAAGGCTCGCAGCATTGGAGCAGGGTTCAAACTGTTTTATCATGGTGTGGATAGAAAGAGAAATGGAGTAGGGGTGATCCTGAAGGAGGAGATGGCAAAGAATACAGTAGAGGTGAAGACGAGTGTCAGATAAGGTGATGTGCCTGAAGGTAGAAGTAGAAGTTCTGATGCTACACGTTGTCAGTGGTTATGCGCCACAGATTGGATGTGATGGGGAGGAGAAAGATACATTTTGGAAAGATCTGGATGAAGTGATAAAGAGTATTCCCAGGGAGGAGAGAGTGGTGATCGGAGCAGACCTGAATGGACATGTTGGTGGTGAAGGAAACAGAGGGGATGAGGAAGTTATGGGTAGGTTTGGTATCAAGGAAAGAAACCAGGAAAGACAGGTGGTTGTGGATTTTGCCTAGAAAATGGAAATAGCTGTAGTCAACACCTATTTCCAAAAGAGTGAGGAACATAGAGCAACCTTTAAGAGTGGAGGAAGGAGTACGCAGGTCTACTACATTCTGTGTAGAAGAGGAAACCTGATGGAGATTGGAGACTGTAAGGTTGTGGCAGGGGAGAGTGTGGCCAGACAGCATCAGATGGTTGTGTGTAGAATGACTGTTGATGTGAAGAAGAGAAAAAGAGTAAAATCAAAGAAGAAGACCAAATGGTGGAAGCTGAAGAAGGAAGAATGTTGTGAGAAATTCAGAGAGGAGCTGTTAAAGGTTCTGGGTGGTAAGAAAGAGCTTCCAAATGGCTGGGCTACTACAGCAACAGTAATTAGAGAGACAGGTAGGAAGGTACTTGGTGTGTCATCTGGACAAAGAATGGATGATAGGGAAACCTGGTGGTGGAATAGTGAAGTGCAGGAAGCTATTCAAAGAAAGAGGTTAGCCAAGAAGAAATATGACAGTGAGATGACTGAAGAGAGGGGGCAAGAATATAAGGAGATGGGACATAGAACAAAGAGGGGGTAGCTAAGGTAAAGCAGAAGGCATTATGATAAGTTATATGGGAGGCTGGACACTAAAGAGGGCGAGAAGGACTTGTATCGATTGGTGAGACAGAGGGATCAGGCTGAAAAGGATGTGCGGCAGGTTAGGCTTATTAAAGATAGGAATGGTAATGTTCTAACAAGAGAGGAGTGTGTGACAGGAAGATGGAAGCAGTATGTTGAGGAGCTAATGAATGAAGAGAATGAAAGAGAAAGAAGAGTAGAGGTCATGAAAACTGTGGACCAGGAAGTGAGAAAAATTAGTGAGAGTGAAGTCCGGAGAACTCTGAAAAGGGTGAAGAAGGGGAAGTCAGTAGGACCTGATAACATACCAGTGGATGTTTGGAAATGTCTTGAAGAGATGTAGTGAAGTTTTTTTACTCAATGGTATATTTGAGGGTGAGAAAATGCCTGAGGAATGGAGGAGAAGTGTGCTGGTGCCCATTTTTAAGAACAAGGGTGATGTACAGAGTTGTAGCAACTACAGGGGAATTAAGTTGATAGCCACACGATGAAGATCTGGGAGAGAATTGTGGAAGCAAGACTTAGACAAGAGGTGACTATCTGTGAGCAGCAGTATGGTTTCATGCCAAGAAAGAGCACCACAGATGTCATCTTTGCTTTGAGGATGCTGATGGAGAAGTACAGAGAGGGTCAGAAAGAACTCCATTGTTTCTTTGTAGATTTAGAAAAAGTATATGACAGGGTGCTGAGGGAGGAGGTGTGGTATTGCATGAGGAAATCTGGAGTGGCAGAGAAGTATGTTAGACTGGTACAGGGCATGTATGAGGACAGCAGGACAGTGACGAGATGTTGGAGTGACATGTAGCTTTAAGGTGGAGGTGGGAGTGCATCAAGGATCGGCTCTGAGCCCCTTCTTGTTTGCTCTGGTGATGGACCGACTAACAGATGAGGTCAGGCAGGAATCCCCGTGGACTAAGATGGTTGCAGATGACATTGTGATCTATGGTGAGTACAGGGAACGGGTGGAAGAGAACTTGGAGAGGTGGAGGTATGCACTTGAAAGAAGAGCAATGAAAGAGCCGTAGTAAGACAGAGTGCATGTGTGTGAATGAGAAGAAGGCCAGGGAACAGTGAGGCTACAAGGAGCAGAGGTCACAAAGGTGCAGGACTTCAAGTACTTGGGGTCCACTGTCCAGGAAAATGGGGAATGTGGTAAAAAGGTGGAAAAAAAGAGTACAGGCAGGATGAAATGAATGGAGAAAAGTTTCAGGAGTGATTTGTGACAAAAGGGTGTCTGCAAAGGTCAAAGGAAAAGTTTACAAGACAGTGGTGAGACCAGCTATGTTGTATGGTCTGGAGACAGAGAAATGGACAAAAAGACTGAGGAAAGAACTGGAAGTGGCAGAAAAGAAGATGTTGAGGTTCTCCTTAGGAGTGACAAGGATGGATAAGATTAGGAATGAGATCATCAGTGGTACAGCACAGGTTGAACAACTGGGAGATAAAGTCAGAGAGGCCAGACTGAGATGGTTTGGACATGTCCAGAGGAGGGACAGTGGGTATACTGGTAGAAGGATGTTAGAAATGCAGCTGCCAGGAAAAGACAAAGAGGATATATATGGATGCAGTTACAGAGGACATGCAGGTAGGTGGAGTGAGGACAGAGGATGCAGAGGACAGAGTGAGATGGAGGAGGATGACTTGCTGTGGCGACCCCTGAAGAGGGAAAAGCTGAAAGAATAAGAAAGAAGGTAGCATTCATAGAAGTGTTAGGAATGACTCTCAGCAACTACCACACCAAGTTTAAGCTCAGTACATGTAAAACTGATTGAGATTTAGCCAATTTGGGGTTTGCTAAGGTCAATAAC